AGGATTGTTGATGCATCAACACGAAGGAAGGTTCCTAAGAAGAATAAGGAGAAGAAGCGCTCTCGAGATATTGGACATCAGTCAGAGGCAAATTTAGGGGAGGATGAATTAGAGGCTCCTACTGTAGTTGCTCGTTCGGCATCACGGGCGTCTGGTTCCCATGGGAGGAACCAGGGTGCTGCATCGAGAGTGGTCTCGGCTGAGTTTGATGAGGACGATACTGATGAGGATATCGAGGTCCCTCCACCTACGCGTGGACATGGACGAGTGCCGTCTTGTACGGCAACATCACGTCCTGTTATGTATAGGGACCGAGCTGGGCGGTTCGTACCACCTGCTCGTGAGGAGACAGAGAGCTCGGGGACTGGACGGAGTAGGGGAGGACGTTCGAGTGGTCCTCCACCATGGGAGCTTGTTGGTGAGTGTCCTGGTGGACCTACGGATGCAGTTCATTCACCACTTCCAGAAACTGATGTTCCATGTAGTTGTGGTTCTTCGCAAAACAAGTGTCAATCGCTCCTCTACCAGACACAAGGAAAGTCTTGAATGAAGAGTGAGATGACTCAACTCTATTCGACCTCGTGTTACCAAGATGAAACACATGGTTCGTGTAGCACTTTGCCCATATTGTCTGATGAGGCAACCACTCACCTCGCACGTAGTCTACCATTTTTATGTTCTTCTGTGTCCAGACCCTCTCAAACTCATTAATCTTTTGAAAAAAACCCTCCTGAGTCCAACTCCATGCAGCTTTGTCGAAATATTTCTTCCATACCGCTTGTGCTACCTCTCTTTTTGCAATTCCACCCAGTAATTGCTCAAACTTTTGCTTCACACAGTTGTTGACATGCCATAAACATAGTAGGTGGACAGTATGTGGGAGAGGGAAGACCACATGAATAGAAGCAAGCAGACCACCTTCTTTGTCTGTCACAATGACATTCGGAACCGTATCACCGAGCAACCCTTTAATACATCGCAACAACCACTCATATGTTTCCTTTGTTTCCTGCTTAATAATTGCACATGCAATGTTGAAATTCTTCTTGACTGGAGTAACCCCAATAATCTCAACCCATGGCCAGCCATACCTGTTCGTCTTGTAGGTCGAGTCAATGAGGATGACGTACGACCATGCATGCAACATCTGAATGGACGTCGGGTGCGCAAAAAACAGATTAGTGAGCACATTATTAGAGTCCTTTTGCAAACAGATATGGTACCCACGTTGTTCAGCTCCGTGAAGCGCAAACTGTATCGCATCCATTTCACCCATCTCATCCAATCTTGTCTTGCAATTTCTTTTGTACATCTGTTTGATATCATGATTCACACCCCCTTCAGTACTGAGTGTCGTCTTCTGCTGATTTGGTCTCACCCCCGCCTTCCTCATTAATCTTAACCTCTCTTTTTCAGCCTCACTAAACTGTTTGTTGTGTCGGTGATGTTTTGGATACAACACCTTTTCATGGTTGTGAAACCCTCTATTAGCTCCGGTTACACGACTTGTCACTCCCACTATGACCCATGTGTTTGGACCATTCTCTTGCCATACTTCCTTAATACATATCTGAAACTGGCAACTAGTACCCTTCGAACTAATATTCCCACGCGTCTCCTTCGTAGAGTCTGGTTTATAAGACTTAACGATCCTACTGCTTCTATCGCAATACATACAGAGGGTAGTAACAGGATGTAGTCCAGCAGTATTCGGTTTCCATGCTCCTCTAACAATAAAGAACCCACACTCCTGAGCGATTGCTTTTGCATCTAACTCAGCTAACTTCACACTTGCATAATGGATCCCATTCTCAAATTCATGTGTGTAATCATGATCGGCCGGTAACCACTCTGACATTTTTCCTACAATTACAATATAACACATCAATATTCCTGTGAACCTAAACGCTAATTTCAAGTCTTAACCGCTAAATTCAACTCCTAAACTCTAAATTCAACTCCTAAACGCTAATTTCAAGTCTTAACCGCTAAATTCAACTCCTAAACGCCAAATTCAACTCATAAACTCTAAATTCAACTCCTAAAATCGAATTTTTTCGAAAAATTCCAAACACAGACGGTGGGCCGAAAATTTCCGGCGGCCGGAACCTGGCCGGGCCGACGGAAATCAGTGGCCGGAGCCAAGCTGAGCCGAAAATATTTTGTGGCTCAGGCAGGCTCTGGTCACCGATTTCCGTTGGCCCGGCCAGGTTCCGGCCACCGGAAATTTTCGGCCCACCGTCTGTTCGTTGCAAATCGTCGGAAAAATTGTTCGAAACTACAAAAAATTGATGCACCTGCTTAGTGATGATTCATGGATGCGTGTCAGCAGTTTACGTCGAGGATGGGCTTTCCAGATGGTTTTCCGGCGAGCGTCGATTTTTTCTGATTCAATACGTTTTCTGAAAGTTGAATATGTTGTAGATTGTAAAACTTCTTAACCAAAGATGTACATATATACTTTTTTTTAGTTGGCGGCAAATAGCAATTTTTTTTGCGGCAAATAGCAAGCCCCTTATTAATGTGGCGAGTCAGAATACATGGATAAATAAAACCAAAAGTCAATAACGGTCGGACCCTTTGACGAGTTTATCACGAAAACACGAGAGGGATACAGCTCTCTAATAAGTATTTTTTTTATCAGAATAAACAACAAGATGAGTTAGAGTGATTTATGGCAGGGTTAGTATCATGCTAACTTCTTTAAATTTTTAATTATCATCGAGTATTATTTTAAAATTGAATATAAAGTTAGAGAGTTGTGAAGGATTTATTTGCTATTTTAGAAAATTAAAAGTAACAATATGGTTAACTCTTACTTACTAGCTATGTACGCGGTATAGGATTTCCATTGTGTGAGTGTATTGTCTTAAATAGCCACAAGATCCCCATTGTAAGGGTGTTTTGCCTCAAATAAGCATATGGTGTCAGTTCATGCCTCAGATTAGGAATGATCCAATGCTCGCAGTCAAGAATTGTAAAAGCACTAGAAGTACGTTCAGTAATTCAACAGCTCGTGACAAGGATCAATGACTCCACAGGACTTGAGAGGAAGAAGATGTTTACCTTATAATTTATTTGGCCGGCCTCTGTTTTATTTTCCCTTCTTCTTTTTATTGGTTGTTGTGGTCTAATTTAAATCGATAGTGGATGGCGAAAGCACCCCCTCTCCCTCTGGTCGTTGTTTGAATAAAAATTAAAAATGCATTTCAGTTTTCCTTACAAAATGTAAAAAGAAAAGTGACTAATTGACTACCTCCTCCAGTCCTTTCTTGTAAACCTTCGGGATTAGGTGGAGAGTGAGACACAAAACTAAATAATGACCATGACCAAACTAAGTAATTAAAAACTAAATAATGACCGGAGACTATATCTATCAACACGGTGGTCTTATCTCTTATGGTTGATGATATATAGGTGTGTTTGTTAGTCTCTTTTTTAAACGCTGATGGATCGTTTCATTAAAATAAAAAGGGTTAATACCCTAGTTTGGCCCGAAGTATAGCGTAAGTGACAGTTCTGGCCCCATTTTTCAAATAAGACATTTATGGCCCACTTTAGAAACTATTGGACAAATTTGGCCCAAAATTTTCTTTGGTCGTTAATATTGACGGTCAAACACTATTCTGTTAGTAACTCAGCAAAAACAGCTGATGTGGCATGCCACATCATTAAATGATATTATTTTAATTTTATAATTCAATTAAAATAAAAATTAACAAATTAACAAAATCACTTATTATCCCAAATCTCCGGCCCCAAATCCCCAAATTCAAACCCTAAACTAAATCAAAATCATTGTCCATAAGAGGGAGGCGACTCCTCCTTCTCCGACGACTACCACTCTGCCGCCTCTCCCGTTCCTTCCCAAAAACCACAACTAACGAGCAGCCTGATTACAGGTGAGCTTGCTCTGGTTGCTGTTTAGCACAGTCGCAGCGGCCTTGCTTGGATCTAGATCTCGCAACGACCTTGCTTGGATCTGGATCTCGCCGGTGATCTGGACCGCTCCAGTTGCCTACCTGTCCGTCGAGCTCACCTCCTCCGCTCACTACCAAATGCTGCATCGGAGAAAACGGATTAAGGCTCTAGGAAACGAAGGAGATAGGGGGATCGATTGAGTTATTAATCACCAGTGAGAAGTCGAAGGCGGGGGAGTTGCTATCGTGAGCGTCGGAGGCGAAGGAGCAGCGGTCGATGCTGGCGGAGGCAGAGGAGAAGAGGCTGAAGTTGGAGGAGTCCTGCGTACGTGAGAATGACGGAGTCGAGGCTGGTGTCCCGGACGATGAACACGGCGGAGGAGGAGGAATGATGGCGGCGGGTCGTGGGTTTAATCTAGGGTGGTGATTTTTGCCAGTGCTGGGGAGAATGACGACGACGCTGAGGTTTATTTAGAGTGGCGATTTGGGTAAGGGAGAAAGAATGGGCTGGTGGGTTTTGATTATTTAGGGTTAAGGAGTTAAGTTGTCAGGGGAGAAAGAGGAAATCCTTTTAATTTGTTAGTTTTATTTTTATATTAGTTGAATTAAAAAAATATATTTAATTACGTGGCATGCCACATCAGCTGTTTTTGCTGAGTCACTAACGGACTAGTGTTTGACTGTCAATATTAACGGTCAAAGAAAATTTTGGGCCAAATTTGTCCAATAGTTTCAAAAGTGGGTCATAAATGTCTTATTTGAAAAATGGGGCCAGAACTGACACTTACGCTATACTTCGGGCCAAACTAGGGTATTAACCCAAATAAAAAACAACATTTCCTAGTACGTTCTTCCGATCTTTATCTATTTATTTTCATCCTCCCTTCCTCCATAGCATCACAATAAGTGACGGAGCTAGGAGGCTATATAATCCCCTCAACAATCAACTTTCAAAATCAGGTAAATTTACGAGTATATTTTGTGACAAATTTGAAAAATAGAGTAGGTGTTATGAATTTAGTCCCTCCTTACTGTTCAAACCTTAGCTCCTCCTCATTCAGATTTCCGGCTCTAACGGTGATGGCGTCCACAGCAGTAGCAAGTTCTTCTTCTCCTCCGTACACGGGGCGGTGGGATTACGATGTGTTCGTGTGCTTCAGAGGGGATGACGTTCGGGATAATTTTATGAGCCACCTTGAGAAACATCTGTCTAAAATGAAAATCAAAACCTTCGTCGACACCCAGCTCAAAGTAACCCAGGACATCGACAAGCTCCTCTCCATCCTCAGAGGAACAGCGGTTTCGGTGGTGATCTTCTCCAAAAACTTCGCGAATTCGTCCTGGTGCCTTGAAGAAGTGGCCACCATTGCCGAAATCACTCAAAAATTCGGGCACAAAACGCTGCCGGTTTTCTTCCGGGTGGATTGGACCACCGTGGCCGGGGACGACGACCATTCGCCGGCGCCTAATGAAGAAAACATCAGGTGCATACTTGGTAACCAAAATGATATCAGCTTCTGAATGAATTCAACGTTTCAGACTGGATTGGATGATGTGTTCTTTGATGTTTTTTTCCCCCTCTTAAATTTCTCTCATTGAGTTTCTTGGAAAGAATTGAAATCTAAATCAATTCGTTTGTTTGGGAATTGGATTTCTAATGCTAAATCATTTGTTCCGATATAATTACATATATAGTATTTGGATTTGTACCGATTTTATGTGGTGATTTTCAAATATATGTCTGGTATGTTATCGGTGAATTTCAAATATATATCAACAAATAGTGATTTGAAATTCCTCATACCAACAGACTGAACTCGTTTATAAAATTTTAAAAGTTCAAGTACTATAAGCCATAAAAAGTGAAGGCACTAAAATGAATTTTGCCACCATAATTTTTGGACCTCTTTGATTTAAATATCATAGTTTAGGTTCTAAATCAGTAAGAAAAAATATGTTTGGATACTAAATTGTAATTTTTCAAAATTGTAGTATCTGACTGAAAAATTCAAAATTGATATTAAAAGTCATAAAACCTGAAATATCAATGAACAAAATGAGCATCCAAACAATGAATTTGAATGTGTTTGGATAGAAGGATTTAGATTTGATATTTGTTATTTGGGTGTCTAAATGTCAAATCATTTGTTTGGATATTATTTACATTTGGTATATGGATTTGTGCCAAATTAATGGGGTGATTTCGCAATACATGTCTAGTGTATTACTTGTCAACTTTAAATACATTCAACAACTCGTGATTCAAAATTCCTCCTAATAAAAGATTGGACATGTTTGTAAAATTTTAAAAGTTTAGATACTATAATGTGGAGCAAAACATACACAGGTACCAAAATTAATTACACCACCAAAATTTATAGATCTTTTTGTAAAATTTTAGGTATTAAATTGTGATAAAAAAATTAATTTGGGTATCCAAACGTAATGTACCAAAATTTGTAGTACGCGACTAGAAAATTCAAAATTAAAATTTAAAAAACAATCGAATTGCAAATGAGTATCCAAAACACGAATTTAAATTATATGTATTTCAAATACATTATATTTGAAATATGCTTATCCAAACGCATCCTTTCATAAATTTCAAATGTATATATTTAAAATACTTACATTTGAAATACACGTACATAAACACATTCTAAAAGAAGTGATGGTGATTTCTTTTTTCAATGTTTGTTGGCTTCAAAGTTCCAAGCTATGGCGTGGTGATTTGTCAATTAATAAAGTGTGGACTGTTATCTGGCACAGATACGCTAAAACAATCGCTGGTCTCTCATTCGCCCAACAACGCAAGGATGAATGGAGGAAGGCTTTGACGGTAGTAGCTAGTAAGACCGGGCGTACCACTCAGGAGATACGGTGAGTACTATTTATTTTCTTAATTTGTTTACTGTTACATGGCATAACAGGTTTTACATGTCTAAACTATTGGGTTGGTTAATTTTACGTAATAGTTGTAGAGTAGTATTACTTAAATCTTACATAATAAAAGATTTTTTTTTGCATAATGAATACTAACTTTTGTTACTTAAGAAGCAAAGCTGATGAATAACAAATTAAAAGGCTTCGATGTGACGAAAATAATCCCGAAAGGGGTCAACTGACTCGCAATGATCACCAATTCATGCCGTTCAAACCCCATGGACGAATTGAACTTAGTGAAACCCTATCGAGAGGTCAATGGAAGCTCGTTGGGAGCTTAGCGAAATCTTATCGGAAGCTCAATGAGACCTCACAAGGTGCTCAGTTGGACCTCAGGGTTGTTCAACTCAACAGGACCGCAAAACTAGCTCACCGATAGCTCAACGAGAGCTTAGTGAGACCTCACTAAGAACTTAACGGGACCTCACTAGGAGCTAGCTGGTCCTCACTGCGCACTCAGCGGGACCTCACCGTCCCCAGAAGCTCAACGTGAGCTCAATGGGCGTACAAATAGGAGCTCACCCCCAAGTAACTTGAGCCTCGAAGGGTGTCCCTAACGACATTGTTCATAGGATCTTTTTGCAAGCATTCTCTCGGGAGTAGAAAAAAAAAAAAAAAAAATGAAATCGTTTAGAAATCATACATCAACAATTGGCACCCTACCATGGAATCCTAGAATCAAATGTTAAAGAAGCCTTGTTCGATGTCTCTACCATGATGGTTGTCAGAAGCTCGAGAACTAGTGGGACCAAGGATACCTGACACCAATATCATAGTAATTGATACGAGTGACTAAAGGGTTTCAATCATTCACAAGATCCAAACCTTTTTACAAGCGATTGTCCAGAAATTTGCACCAGAAAACCGATCGATCGAAAACCCATCGGAGAGCAGTAAAAAATTAATGTCTCTGAGTCAGCAACAAAAGGGAAAAAACAGAGCAAGAGGAAAACCCACTAACATGACCACAAATTCGAACTTACAAACTCAACAAGGTAAGCTATCGAGGAGAAGTACTTATTATTGGGCTCCCGGAGGAACGAGCTTGCTGCGGTAGAGCTTGCCGAAGACGTGGAGAGCGGTGACGAAGCTGATGAAGCAGAGGCTGAGCACGAGGACGGCAGTGGGGGAGATCTTGATCCAGGTAGCATCGTCGGTGTAGAATCAGAGCATGTTCCCGTTGGAACTTCCTACGCCGCCGTCCGAGGCATAAGAACAGACGATTAAGGTTCCCCGAACGGGCGTCGCGCATCCCGGCGGTGGCGGCAGCGGAGCCCCGAGGTGCTGTGACCGCGGGGCGGGTGGCGCCGTCGGGTGAGGTGGATGATTGAGACTGAGAAGAACCTCTCGCCATCTGTATCAATTATAATATTTTTTAATTTTATGGTATAAATGAGTTGGACATTAAAATATATTAAATTTTATTTTATCTATTATTTTTTAATTGCCACGTCACTAAGTTAACAGTCAACTTTGAGAGTTGACTGCTAGGTCAGTCAAAGTTAACGGAGCTGGACGGAGAGTGATCAAACATGAACGGTTTCAGTAAACTGAAGTACCACTAATGAATTTAAATATTTCGAGTGACGAAACTTAAACGTTTTTTGTAATCTCAGTGACCTACCATGCAATTAACCCCATAATTTAATATTATGACCAAGTTAGTATAGAGAGCCGAATGTATTTTCTAAAAGTGTTAGTTATCCTTGCCTTTTTTTTTTTTAATTTGTGTTGTGCATTAATTATCAGGAACGAGGCTAAATTGGTTGATGAGGTTGTGGCAGGAGTCCTTACGACTCTAGTAGCCATGTCACCTACCAGGCAGTTCAATAACTATTTGGTTGGTATGAATTCACGGGTTGCGGAGGTCGTGCAACGGTTAGTCATGAACGAAATGGATACCGTTCGCATTGTAGGGCTTTGCGGAATGGGCGGTGTAGGGAAAACAACTGTTGCTCAAGCTTGCTACGACAACTTGAGAGATTCTGCAGACGCCAACGCCAACGACGACACCAAGTTCCATTTTGTTAACAGGGTCGGACAAAATGGTGTTAATGATCAAGATAGGGTTGAAGGGTTAGTGAGAGAACTCTATTCAAAATTGTTGTCCGAGGATTCTCTCAGTCGCGAGGACTTGGATAAAGAATATCGACGGGGCCGCCTTCTCAAGACAAGGGTGTTGGTTGTTCTTGACGATGTGCACACTCCTTCACAATTAGATGAGTTGCTTTTACAGGAAGCAACTGACCCCAGAAAGTTGTTTGCTCCAGGGAGCAGAATCATCGTGACCACTAGAAATCGAAGGGTGCTTGAGCATGTTAAGGCAAAAATACACAGTGTTGGTCCACTCGATGTCGATGAATCTCTTCAACTTTTCAAACTACATGCTTTCTCACTAGGCTCTCCTTTTGATGATGATGACGACGACGGTGGTCGAAATGATGATTTGTCACACAAGGTTGTATCATACTGCAACGGCAACCCGTTGGCGCTTAGAGTTTTAGGGGGTGCATTGTCATATAAAGACAACAAGTATTGGGAGAGCTTCGTTCTCAAACTGGGCAAAACTCAAGAAGCAGCAATTCATCATGTCCTTCGGACAAGCTATGAAGAGTTGAGAGATGTTAAGGATAAAAGATTGTTTCTCGATATGGCTTGTTTCTTCTCTGGGCACTGGAGATCTTTATTAGTCAAGTATATGGAAACTGTTGATGAATCTGCATATAGTCGAGTGGAGGATCTAATCGGCAAGTCCTTGCTAGCCTCTGTGTTCGACCAGAGTGAGGGTGAGATACTTGTTGTGCATGATTTGTTAAAAGAGATGGCTTGGAACATCGTCAACGAGGAAGAAGATCTTGGAAGACGCAGCAGGCTGAACGATCCGGCTGACATTCACAACTTGCTGACCAATTGGAAGGTATTATAAGTTTTGGACCATGTGTTGGTTCGTTATAGTGTTGTAAATTGATTATGTATATGTTATTTGCAATAATCCGTGAAAGAAAATGATATTCCAGGGGCATAGAGCAACAGAAGGGATCCGTTTAAACCTTTCCAAAGTTAAAATGATGAGTCTGAAAGCCAATGCTTTTGAAGGGATGAACTCTCTTCGATGGCTTAACTTCTTCTTGCCGAAAGGCTTTGGAAGTCGGCATAGGAAAATCATTGTATCAGAAGGTATCCTTAACTCTCTTCCCAACGAGTTGAGGGGTCTACGATGGGACCAATTCCCTTTAGCTTCGCTGCCGGGTGGATTTTCTCCTGACGAACTCGCCTACCTCGTTATAAGCCATTCTCCAATCAAGACATGTTGGAAAGAGAATCAGGTATTCAATGATCTGAACACACACTTGCAAACCATACGTAGCATGTGTTCTGCAGTCTTTAATCTGTTGGTGTTTACTTTTATTGGCAGCCTGAACTTGAGAAATTGAGTAAGCTAAGCCTCACTTCCTGTGAGAATCTAACTGTCATCCCAGACTTGCGGAAATCTGCAAATCTCGAGCACCTTGTACTCGAGAAGTGCAAATCTCTAGTGGAGGTACCTGACAGCATTCAATATCTTGTCGAGTTGGTAAGGTTGGAGGTTAGAGATTGTGAGAACATCGAGCGTGTCCCGGACAGGCTGAACTCGAATGTGCTCAAGCACCTAATCCTGGTCAACTGTCCCAAGGTGACGCACTGTCCAGAGGTTGATTCGGGAGTGTTGGAGTCTTTGGATTTAGATGGAACCCCAATCGATGAGCTACCGAATGCGATTTACAAGGTCAAGCAGGGTGGGGTGGTATGTCTCTATGGCCCCAGCATCACCAGTTTCCCTCAACTTTCAACCAGCCTAAAGCTACTCCGTCTGCGCAATACTGCAATAAGAGGCATAGAGTTGGATCATCGTCGTCGTCAAGGTTCCAATCTGCCGAAATTTGAGCAATTGCACTTGCTCCACAACTCCCAGCTCAAGACTCTGTCGAGGAGCATATGGAACATGGTCACTGTTGAGCTTACTATTGAGTGGTGCCCATTAATTAAGAGTTTGCCAGAGATCTCACGGGTGCCTGTTGGTGACTTGACTAGGCTGATTATTAGCGGATGTGAAGGCTTGGAGAGTCTTCCATCAGGCATCAACCACCTGAAATCTTTGAATTACTTGCGTTGCTATGGCACAACTATGAAGTCCCTTCCAAATATCGAGGAACTGGACAAAATCACTCATTTAGCTCTATCTAGTAGCAGCAGAATTGAGTCTGTCCCACCAAACATACACAAACTCGCCAATTTATCGTGCTTGATGTTGATACGCTGTTGGGGGATTCAATATTTGCCTGAACTTCCACCAAATCTTGATTTTATGGATGTGAGCTGTTGCAAGTCGTTGCTTGCCTTACCAAGCAATGTGGGGAGCCTGAGATGGAGGTGCCTGTGCTTCGTAGAGTGCCCAAAATTGGACATGAACTTGCCTGAAGAATTGGTGAAGAATTTTCCTCAACAGGCATTGTCGTCTCCGCACTCTAAGGTATGTCAATATTGCAAAGTAGATATACTTGTATTGGTGGGTGATTGTTGCTGTCTATATAAATGTGAAAGGAGATGACTTTTGATGAAACTCTCTCTTTGCTTTCGGTAACAGGGCATGCTCCAATATTCTGGGAGTGAGATTCCAAAATGGTTCGACTACAAAAGCACAGAGAACAACAATGAGGACAGTTCATGTGTGACTGTGAAACTGCCTCATCCAAACAGCAGTCGTCGTCATCGAGGAGTGGTTAAGGGAATTGCATTCGGCGTTGTGTGTTCTTCCGATAGCGGCCCTGCTCTGTTGTCTATACGATGCGAATGCAGCATTGGCAGCAGTGCCGCTGCTGCCTCTTGGAGGAGCCCTTTCTTGTTGGGTCTGTCCTCGTCAGATGTTGTGTACATGTGTTTTGACAAGAACTCATTTGGTGAGACTGATGAAGGAGTACGAGGAGGAGGAGAACCTTGGTATGTGAAATATGCTGGGCTCGATGTTTGCTTCAGAATCCGTTTTGAAGCAAAACGGGGTGGAGATCTCAACAAACTAAAGAAGGCCAAATGCAAAAGCATTGGTGTCTCGCTGCTGTACTAAAACAACAAATAGTCATCAATCACCATGATCCATGAACGTTCTATTTTAATTGAAGTTATGGATGCCAATATTGTGTCTGCTTCCTAAAAAAAAAGAAATGGGAGTTAGACAGACAGAAATAACAGAAATTTATTGATGATCTCATGTTTCAATTTCGGAGATGTCTATTCAAATAATTATTTGGAATAGATTGTCTAATTTGCTTAAAAAAGAAGCATGTACTTTTTTATATGAAAATGTGGTGGTCGAGATCTTTTTATGGTTATGTTTTCAGGCGAGAAAACTTGCGTTAAAATCGAATTGATTGCACCTTTGACTTCTTTGGACAACGATTACAAAGTCACGACTCACACCTCTTCAAACAAAGTTCGAACGAGGGTGTTCAATGTTTACACGACTCACTAGACATATCAACATTAAGTTACTCCTACTCTTATGGAGATTCAGTGAGAGCTCCAGATGTATGACTATGGATAAAAGTTGCAGAGGAAATTATTCTTATTATTCTTCTTGACTCCTTATAATGTAAATCAGAGGTACATATTTATTCTTATTATTCTACTTGACTTCTTATAACGTAAACCAGAAGTACATATTTATAGGAGAATACCGATAAACCCTAACAAATAACTAGGGGTGGTAATCGGTAAACCGGTATCCGGTATACTAGATACCGACGGTATTCGGTATACCGAATACCTTCGGTATCGGTATTCGGGCCTGTGATTTTACATTCGGTAATACCGGATAAGAGTCGGTAGTTACCGACGGTATACCGGTATACCGATAATACCGATTATAAAAAAAAAAGTAAAACGCGGTGCCAGCAGCCGCCAGCATCCCGCTCCGCCGGCCCCAGTAGCGCTCCCCGCCGCCGCCTCCAGCAGCCTCCTCTTCCCTTCTCTCCATCCCGAAAGGCGAGACCCAGCAGCCGCAATCCAGCAAAGGCCCAGTCACACTTACCTCTCCTTCTCCTTCCACACCAATTCCGAAGACTGGAGTTTTAGTCTCTAGGCTTGCCACTGGCGTCTTTTCAGGCCAGGCTAACCAGGCTTTAACTCCCGCCAAGAAACTTCGCTGAGCTATCTGGGAAGTAGCTCGTTGAAAATTCCCTAATCGAAATTCCAGCCCGGAAAGTGGGTTTTGAGTTCGACGACTCTAGGGAGTTTTTGGTCAACTTCATCCCGGAATTCGACTAGGGGGGAGGCTGTCTTCGTTGCCTCACGGAGATCGGAGGTGATCTCGGTTGCGCGAAGACAACTCCTAGGTGAGCGGCCCTGTTCAAGTTTGCGACTTCCACTAAGCTGTAAACCGACTTAACTAAGGCCATGTTCACTTTCATTTTCGTTTCCTGTTTTCTGTTTTCATGTGATATATTTGGCAACTGAAATGAGAAAACTTGTTTACTTTTCATTCTGTTTTCTATTCGTTTCCAACTATGAAAACAGAAAGTGGCAACTTCCTGCTGTTTTCGAAAACGACAAAATGTTGTTTTCACCTGTTCAACATCTGTTTTCTCAAAAACAGGAAACAGAAATGAAAGTAAACAGGCCCTAAGATGATGAACTCAGCTTTCATTTGTATTGCCGAGAATTGAGGGTGTTAGTTGTAGGTAATTTAATTGCGATTGCTGCCAAGAACTTAGCTTTATCTTCATTCAGTGTTGGCGATTGTTTTCTGGACGAGAATGGTTCTTTTCTGACGTAGTTTCATTTTGTGATTAGCATAACCGGTATTAATACCGGATACCGACTATTCGGTATTCGGTATACCGGATAACATTCGGTATTGGTATTCGGTGGGTACACTGTGTAGTTCCGGTATACCGAATACCGGATAATCGGTATCCGGTATACCGGATACCAACCGATTACCAGCCCTACAAATAAGCTAATTGGACTAAATCTCTACTAACCATAATAATAATTATCCTACTAAAAATAATAAAGGAAACCCACGAGAACTGGGTTTCTAACAATCTCCTCCCCTTGAAAATGACCTTGCCATCAAAGTCGTAGTCGAATTTCATCTTCTTGACCTTTCCCTTTCTTCGTTTCCAGTTGCGCTCGATTCCCTGAGCGAACTCTTCTCGCGCATCTCCCACTTTCATTGTCTCTTCTCCACCATGTGACACATATCGCGTTCTCCAAAGCCGAACAATTCTTCCTTCTCTATTTCGAAGTCCACGAAATAAGAGTCGGAGAGTTGTTCTTCCTTGCGCTCCTTATTAACCACCTTGAAATATTCAAGGAATTGCTCCATTAATTCCACCGTTTTGTGTTCGCCTTCCACCTTCCTCTGTGATCTCCCCGCCTCTACTCCCGTAATGACTTGCAAACTGCAAACCGGGAATGAGGATTCAACGATTACCACAACGGTCGTTGTGGATTCCTTTCCTTCCGGGCTGGTGACCGGTGATGAGAGAACGGCCAGGCCTAGTTCCCCGTCTATAGGCCTTGATCGCTTCTTTCAGGATCGCCAGTTTGGAGCACGACTCGACATTGTTAGTCTCACCGCGCCTCCCACCTGTGGTTCTTCTACATAGGCGGCTTATGTCGCCACTTCGAGGACAGGGACAGAGGCGGCGGCCTCGTTCATCTTCTTCTTCTTGAGCGAGCTAGCGGCAACTTCAACGGTAGCAGACGGTGGTGGTTGTGATTGAGTCGGTACAGCTGTTGGTGGTATGGAAACTTCTTTTGTGGCTGGTGGCTCTGTCGCCAGGGGCTCCTTGACTACTTTCTTCGTCTCAACCAGTGAAGAGACGACTGATGATGGTGATATCGTTAGAAAGACAGCTGCTGCTGCTGCTGCTTTCTTGGCCGCCACTGTTGGCTCCTTCAAAGCTGCGGCTGCGGCTTTAGGTGGAGCAGCCCGCCCAACGTTCCCGGACAGCCGCGAGGATGAGGTAACTTCGTCCCTCACCTCTTTCCAACTTTGACTTTAAAATCCTTGTGACTACTCTGAGTGAGAGCCCTTCAAATCTCGACATGGCTCCGATACGAGTGCCTGCAACCGGGCTCTGTTACTACTGTTAGAAACTCACTTTTTAGGGCTTCTAGGGACTGATCTTCGGCACCCGTGATTATACGTAACAATAGGGATTTAGGAATTTGGGGATAGAAATTGGGGATTTTGATAGGAGAATTGGGGATTTTGATAGAAGAACAGAATTGGGATAGAATGGCCGGCGGCCTTGGGAGAGAGATATACTAGATTTGAGAGAGTTTTGGTAGAGATTAGGGTTGGAAATTATTCTTATTATTATTCTTGACTCCTTATAACGTAAACCGGAAGTACATATTTATATGAAAATACTGGTAAACCCTAACAAATAACCTAATTGGACTAAATCTCTACTAACCATAAAAATAATTATCCTACTAAAAATAATAAAGGAAACCCACGAGAACTGGGTTTCTAACACCTGCTCCTCCATGAAACCAGCCGGAAGGTCACCTTCTCGATTCCTCCACCTAAGAGCCATCGAATCAACCACAAGTATTCCACCAGGTGTGCAAAATTTGATTTCCAGCGAGAAAACTTGCATTGAAATTGAATTGATTGCACCTTTGACTTCTTTGGACAACGATTACTAAGACACGACTAACACCTCTTCAAACAAAGTTCAAACGAGGATGTTCGATGTTTACACGAATCACGAGACATATCTACATAAAGTTACTCCTACTTCTATGGAGGTTCAGTGAGAGCTCCAGATGTATGACTATGGATAAAAGTTGCAGAGGAAATTATTCTTATTACGACTGTTGGGAAAACAACTGTTGCTCAAGTTTGCTACGACAACTTGAGAGATTCTGCAGACGCTGACGACGTCGACACCATGTTCCATTTTATTAACAGGGTCAGACAAAATGGCGTAAATGATCAAGACAGGTGTTGATATGACTTGAATCGGACTATCAGCCGCTACGACTGGTAATCGGGGGTCTCGCTGCCCGGTCAGCGAGTGGGGTCCAGGGGCAACGCCCCGGTGGGGGTGCGGGTTCTGGGCCTGGTCTGTAACCGTTTCCTTTGCTAGATTGGATTAGGTTTAGACCCACATGGAGAAGTACTATAAATACTTCTCATACTCCTCTGTAATCTGTAATCTCCTTGATATAGTGAAATCGGCTCTCTCTCGCCCGTGGACGTAGCTAACACACATCGTGTTAGTGAACCACGTAAATCGTGTGTCGTGTTTTCGATTCTCGCTTTCGTATTCTTGCTTTGTCGATCCCGGCGATTTCCCGATCCGTAGCAGCGCGTTTATAACATGTGGTATCAGAGCCGCGGCTGGAAATCAGGCTAGGGTTTTTTTTCGATTCAGAAGAATGACGTCGGTGAACATGAAGATCGAAAAGTTCACGGGGAAGAACAGCTTCTCTATATGGCAGATCAAGATGCAGGCTTTATTGAAACAGCAAGGGCTATGGGGGCCGCTGTCTGCGAAACAGAAGAAGGCAGCGGTCGATGACGATGAGTGGAATACCCTGGAGGAGAAGGCCCACTCGACCATCATGCTATCGTTGTCTGATGACGTCATCATTGAAGTCGCTGCTGAGAAGACTGCCGCGGGCTTGTGGTTGAAACTGGAGAGTCTGTATATGACGAAGTCTCTAACCAACAAGCTGCATCTCAAGCAACGGTTGTTCAGCTTGAGGATGCAAGAAGGTACGCCTTTAAGGGAACATCTCGAACAGCTTAACTCTATTTTGCTGGATCTGCGTAATATAGATGTTCAAGTTGATGACGAGGATGCTGCCCTAATCCTGCTGGTTTTGCCAAGTTCATATGAGAATTTCGTTGATTCTTTTATTGCTGGTAAAGAAAGCGTGTCGTTGGAGGATGTCAGGTCTACTCTTCATACGAGAGAGATCAGACATAAGGCGTCCGGATCTGCTAGAGGTGGTGAGGCATCGGGTTTGGCTGTTACAGGTGGAAAGGGAAAGAAGAAATCTGGTAAAGGGAATTCGAGCAAGAATTCCAAGGGTCCCGGTCCA